CTGCAATTCTTTATCCCTTTAGGCAACAAGTAAATGTCACGTTGAATGTGTATATATGTAATGTTCTCATCATTTGATGATTCTTGTAGTTTCTGCATTCTTATTATCGTTATACTTTCATGATGTGAGGGTGATAATTCGAACGTTTAACTTTAGACAAAAGTATATATCTAAACGTTTAAATTCATCTATGTATTATTGTAACACTTGGTAATATACCTCATAGTTGTGTTGTACTCTCTTCAGGTGTCAAATGTGATGTTATACCTAGTCGTTTAAATCAAATCTCCATTTTGTTACAACAAAAGAGAGTTTACTATGGTCAGTGTAGTGAAATTTGTGGAACTAATCATGCCTTTACGCGTTCACTCGAAAACATAAACCAATTGCTGAAACCACTCTTGCTTAGCCACATCACCACCCTTGGTGTTTATAAGATTTTGATTGTTTTAGTTGCACATTAATTTGATGAATTATTGGGTTCATTTCCATTAAGTGTGTTGTGTCGATGTTGTTCTTGGAAGCTATTCAAAGACGGATAATATGGTAAAGGTGTTATAACATTTTATTTTTATTTTGTGTTTAAGCTTTCTACAAACAAATGATAAGAACAAAGTTGATTTAATACAAAATTGATAGCAATGGTAATGTCAATGTCCAAGACCAAAATCAAAAGGGTATCATTATGATGCCTTATGGCTACCACCACTTGAATTAATTAAAGTCTCTTTGGTCTTTATAATTAGCCTACCAAATTTGAATCTCTCTTTCTTTCTTTTAGTGAACTTAGTCACCCAAAGTATTCTAACAAAACTCCCCCATTTGTATCATTATCATCGGAAAAGTTTATTATTTAAAATAAAATAATACGACTTCAAATTTTAAGAATTAAAAGGTCAATTAAATTTGTTAGAAACTGAATAATAATGTCCGAAGGTTCTACTGGTCAATACTCAATGAATTTCGTGTCTTACATAGTTAGACAATAGGGATTTAGTTGACTCGGTTATTTAAATCCAGTGAATTGTCTATTTAGTTGCCCACTTACATACGTCTTGGGAGAAAAAAATCGATATTTCAAATTATATTTTATAAATATTTATATTGTTTTTAGTTTTTCAAATTGGACAAAAATTTCAATTAGATTTATTTATTTTAAATAAAAACTAATAGACATATATAGGTTATTAAAAATATTGAGTTTAATTAAATAAAAATAATTATCAAACAACATATTGACTGAGTTACCTACTAGAAATAGAGCTCGGGTTGAACAAGTGGTTCAAAATCAACCCTTAATCAGTTGATAAAAAGGGCATTCGAGGGTCGGTTAGTAGTTAACAATATTCACAAAGAAAAGACATTGATTATGGTGAAATCTTTTCTTATGTTCTGAAAATACCTACTATCTAAAAAAATTGTAGTATTGGTGCATCGAAGAATTTACAACTTGAGCAAATGGATGTAAAAACATCATTTTTACATGGAGATCTAGATGAGAAGATCTCACTCGGAAAGGTTTGCAGTTCCATCAAGGAACACATGATGTGTAACCTCAATACAAGCTTGTATTGGACTGAAAGAAGCACTAGACGCTGGTACAAGAAGTTTGACTCCTTCATGTGCAAGAGTGGTTTCTATAGGAGTGAAAATAATCAGTGTTGTTTCTTCAAGTAATACACTAGTTCTGAAGTGTTTCTACTCCAATACAGGGGTGATATATTGATTGTAAGATCTAGTATGAGAGAGGTAAACCACCTAAAGACAAGCATGTCTTTAGTATTTGAACCGAAAGATTTGGGTGAAGTGACGCAGATTCTTGCGACGAGATAGATCTATTTGCACGTTAAATCTATCCCAAAGGTAGTACATTGAGTAAACGTTATCCAAATTCATGATGAATGATTCTCAACCTAGGACTACCCGTTTGGCAAATCGTATTAAATTGTCAAAGGGGAAATCTTTCAAGATAGTTGAGGAACGTGAGCACATGACATCAGTTTCATACGCTTCTACAGTTGGGAGTTTGATGTATGTCATGGTCAATACTAAACCTGATATAACACATGTAGTGGGAGTTTTTAGCAAGTACATAACAAACGCAGGGAAAGAACATTAGGAAGTTGTGAAGTGACTTCTTAAATATCCGAGAGGTACATCTAGTATTTTAGTCAAGATGTAGACTCTAGGAAGAGCACATCTAAATATATCTACACTATAAATGGAATAGCAGTGAGTTGGTTGTCAAGACTTCATAAATGTGTGTTACGCTTTCATTTGTTAAAGTTGAGTACGTGGCAATAGCTGAACCGGGAAAGAGGATGATATAGATGACAGAGTATCAATAAGAATTAGGCAAGAGACAGCACGAGAAGATTCTTTATACATATAGTTAGAGTTTCATACAATTAGTGAAGAACTCGATCTATCATTCAAAGACAAAACACATAAGAAAACGATATCATTTTACTTTAGATTAGTGAAAGAAGTGATACGTATTTGGAGAAAAAGAAGGAGCAAAGAATCTAACACACATGTTGACAAAATATGTTGATGTTGGGAAATCGAGGTTATGCACAGTGTCACGGTCGTGTTTGTCCAAGGTATGTTGCCCATGGCCGCATGCCCGTGACACGCCGAAACATTTGCCTTATACTACTTTATTGCTTTCTTTTACCGCTTTCATGTTGTATTATTTCTTTCTTGTTTTCTTTAAGAGTATGACGTTTTGGGATGTCATGGCTACACTTGATAGACATGAAATGCCTCAAAATGTACTATAGGGGATACCACTAGTTGTCAACTTCTCCCTACCCGATAGTTATATGCAGTGAGCCGTTGTTGTTGCCTTTTGCTTACATTCCCATATAACACCAATCTCAATTTCTCTCTCTTGTTTTCAAAACTCTTTTTTCAAAAGATCTCTTCCTTACTTTCTAAAATCTTCTCTTGAAATCGAGACCCGAGATTTGGATTCATGTTGCCCGACCGCAGGCAACGTAACTCGAAGTAGACTAGACCTACTCGGTACTGAGAGTGGGTTTCGCACAATTGCCAAATCTGCTGCTTAGAAACCACGGTTGTGACACACAACCTTAATTGGTCGGTTGTAGTGAAGATATTAATGGTGAGTTGAATCGTTTGAAAATGAAATTCTTGGTTGACTCGATCCGTCTTATCAGAGAAAGAATTGTTAGGTTATGGAGCAATATAGTAAATGGTCTTATACAGTGAACTATGTATATAGTAAATGGTATATCTGGTAAAATTATATATAGTAGATAGTTATATAGAGTAGATGACACATCGGTTAAAACTATATATATATATATATATATATATGCGTGTATACATATGACGCTCATATTCTTTCTTGTATTTTCTCTCTCCTAATTTTTGTATTCATCTGGATCTAGTAATAGAATAAGAATCTATTATTACTTTTAATTTTAAAAAATTATTATTTATATAACTTTAGTTAATTTTACATATGAACAACGAGAAAAAAAAAGTTATTTATTATTTTTAAAAATTACTAAATTACATATGAACAACGAGATAACTATGATCATTTAAATTTTTTGCGCGCTATCTAAGACATAAATACAAATCAACATGAGTTAAATGCATCTACCCACTTCTCGAAACTTTGAAAGTATCTAAAAAGTGCTCAAATAGCTTAAAGGTATCTAAAGTGTCACATGGGATCAAAATGAACTTGAACGTTGTCTAGATGAGATTAACATGTGTTTTCCGATTGTTTGAAACTTTACAAGCATCTTAAAGGTGCCTACGTGCACTCTGAGGCCAAAACTTAATTCGAATCAAGCTTAACATGCTTACCGTGCTCCCCAAAACCTTGGAAGTGTTCAAAAGGTGCCTTTAAGTAACACACAAATGTCTAAATAGTGCATGAGCTTATCGTCATGTCTCTCATGGAGGTCAATTATACTATGATGATCAACTAAACTTAGTCATATTTTCGAGAATAATCAAAGGAAATTAAACAATGGAGAAGTTCGAGAAGAGGAAAACCACATTGCATGGACCATTGTCTCTAATAGCCCTAGCCTATCACTAGCAAATATTGTCCATTTTGATTCGTTACGTATCGTCAGCTTCACGGTTTTAAAACACGTATACTATGGAGAGGGTCTAACCCTACTCCGATCAGTGTCTCGCACCGTCTAATAACTAGCTCTTATACTATTTGTAACAATCCAAGCCCACTACTAGCATATATTATCCACTTTAGGTATCGTCATTAGTCTCATGATTTTAAAATGTGTCTGTTAGGGAGTGATTTCCACAATTTTATAAGAAATAGTTTGTTCTTCTCTTTAACCAATATGAGATCATGTACGTAAAAATTTTAATACTATTAATTAAAAAAATATATAAAATTGTTAAATTACATGTTTAACCTCAATATATTCTAAAGAATTGAGGTGAGTTATTTATTTATTTGAGGAATATTTAAATAATGGAATATTTTGGTGGCTGTTTATTACTGTTAACCAATCAGGTTGGCTTTTCTGCTGTCTATGAGTTGTTATCGAATCCCCTCCCCACCCTAATTCTTTCTTTCTTTAAAATTTTAATTTCATACCCTTAAAAATAAATTTTAAGTAATGCAATTAAAAAATAATATTAAAAATTAGAGACTTAAGTCAAAATAAATTTATTGTTTAATAAGAATTGTTTGTGTTGAATGATAAAAGTCCCACATCGACTAATTTAAAAAATAATCTTGAATTTATAAGTGAAGAATACTAACTTCCTGAGAACTTATTGTTAAAGTGGACAATATCATAGCATTTAGAGCCTTAAACGGCCAATAGATTGATAATAAAAACAAATTTAAACCTTAATTAAAAAATATGGAATTTCTTTTTATTTTTTATTTTTTAATGGATGGATCGTTAAAGGAACCATCGGAAGAGTGGAAAGGACAGTTGGTAAAGGTCAACCACTATCCCATAGCCACCAAAAACACAGTTTTCAACGGTACAACCAAACCCAAATTCATTAATTAATTAAAATAAATCAAATAATTATGATTATCTCTTCAATAATTTAAATTTCCAAATACACCCAATAAATAAATACGTATTCTAATCTCTGTACACTAACAAATTAAATCCCAATAATCCAAACCCATAATTAAAATCACACCAAAAATATTTATAAAAATTAAAAAAAAAAAAAAAAAGGGTTTAGGGCCGCCGGATTCTGAATCATTCCACCGGAACCAAAAGCCTCGGCTTCTTCAACGGGTGAGGACTCTGCACTTCCTCCTCCACATACTTCTCCCGCCTTTGACTTTGACTTTGACTTTGACTTTGGCTTTTTTCTCGCCGGTGACTGTCCGGGAATCTCGGCCAGAACTCCGGCAAGGCCGGCACGTTGAGATCGAAGTCCCGGACATGGGTCTGCGTGAGAGTGGAGTCGCCGTTACTATCGGAACCAGCAGCGAGGGTTTTATTGTTGTTGCCGTCATAGTGCCGCCGCTTGTGGCCACCGAGAGCCTGGCCAGTGGGAAAACATTTGAAACAGATGGAACACTGGTGGGTCCTTGTAGAAGCGGCAGTAGAAGAAGAGACGGCGGAAGTGGTGGTGGCGGAGGTGGAATCTGTGTCGATGGCGTCTGATTTCCGGTGGCTGGACTTATGGCCGCCAAGGGCTTGGTAAGAAGAGAAGGACTTATTACAAACGGAACAAGAATAAGGCAATTTTGTCGGAGATGGGATGTTTCCGCCGTGTGCGAGCATGAGAAGGGAAAAGGCTAAGTGCTCGTCGTCGGAGTCGAGCGGAGGCCGGCTTGAGCGCTTGGATCGCTTGATCCATGGCTCGGTCGGGGAATTGAGAGCTTGCAAGGCCATGGCAGGGAGAGGCGGTGGGGTTTGAAGGGAAGGGACGGGGGAGGGGGGTTATAAAGGGGGAGGTCGGTCAACTGGTGGAGCGATGGCGGTGGCTGGGAGACTCTTTCCAAGTCAAAACAAAATTTAATTTTTAATTTTTAATTTTTAATTTTTAAATGGGAGAAGGACTAGAGTGTACTAGTGAATGGTTGGAGTTTTCTGAGCTGGCACTTCGAGGAATGTGGAGTCTTCCTTTTTCTTTTATTTGCTTACCTAATTTCCACCTCATTCTTTTCTTTTTTCTTTTTTTTTTGTCATTTCCATTTATTTTACTAATTATTTACATTTTCTTCCCACTTTTAAATAAAAATTAAATAAATATCAAAATATGATAAAATTATAATTATTAATATAATATATACAAAATAAATAGTTTAAAGATTATTTGAATTTAATTTTTTTAAAGCATATTTGAGTTTAATGTATTTTAAAAAAATAATAATAAAAAATAAACAAATATATAAAAATGAAGAGAGAGAGAGAGGGAATAAGTGGAAAGAGAGCAAAACTTAGGGAGAAACTTCGGCTGTCGCCCACGTGTATTCTTATCCCATTTTCCTTTCTTTCTTCCACTTCCACTCATAATCCCTTTCATTTCCAACTCACACCAACTTATTTTTCCCATTTTTTCCATTTATTTATTTTAAAATTTTAAATTATCTAATCAAAAATTTGATTTTTAATATGTTATATTTAATAAATTTTTTAATTTTTAATTTTATATTTAATACCATTTTACTATATTTAAATATTTATGAAAATTACTAAAATATTCTTACTCTATCTCGCTCATTGACAGGCATTATAGTCCATCGTCACCATTGATGATAACTTCTTCGACAATTAACTCTCAAACCCACCTAGAATGACCATTCCGACTCACTTAATAAATAAGTCTTTAAATTTTAAATTTAATAAAAGAATTGGTAATTCATAAATTTATTAAAAAATTATTAAACATGTTTTTAAATGTGGTCTATTTGAATTAAAAATGCAATTAATAAATCTTTTTTTTTTTTTTTTGTTACTTTTAATTTTGTGGAGTCTCCGCCCTGCTGTCAGTTACGTCATCACTACGCGCTGCTATTTCGCCACTCGAACGCGTGTACTTTTCCTTTTGATGGGGCCGTGTTCACATGCGTCCCGTAACCGACAAATAAATTGCACACTTAACCACGTGTATTTATCTCATTGGCTTTTCCCACTGAAACCCCTCAACGTGGCATCTTGCTCACCGGCCACTTGCCACGTAACCCACTCCCACACTCCTTTTCAACATGTTTAATATTTTTTGTGGAGTATAAATACGTGGCAAGTTCTCACCTTCTTTTAATCTTTTATTTTTATTTTATACATTCAAATACTATATTAAACAGACCACATTGATATATATATATATATATATATATATATATATATATATATATATCATGATATATTTGTTTTTATGGCTAAAATCGATAACTTCATGGTAACGAAACTAATGTTTAACTTGAAGTTGAAGATTTAACTCGAAATTATACGTAGTTTTTGAAATTAGGATTGTGTTTCATAGCGTTTTTCACAGATGAAAAGGTTGTGTCAGGATTTTATACCGATTAGTAAGATTATATATCTCATTTGAATTCATATTTATTCTCGGTGGTATTTTTTTTTTTCTAGTTTTCATCTTCGTTTGCAAAATCTCATTCTCGGCTTGAACACCTCTGCCTACTTTGATGCTGAGGAATGTTGGGAGAAGTTTTACTCACTAATTAAGAAGAAGATCATGAGTTTATAAATAAGGAATACATCTCTTTTAGTTTTTTTTTTTTTAATCAAACCGCCTCAACGACCTAGTCTAGATACCCATGGTCCACACACATTCCACCAGCTCGTTCCAACCCATGCGCCAGACCCAGACCACAATTCGCATGCATGCCCATGACCTACAACCTAGACCGCAATTCGACTCGATTCAACATAGTCTGAAGCTCCATCATGGCTTATATGGCTCGAGTTGACTGTTTTGGTCTCCATTTTACTATTTCCTACTCTTTCCTATTATTTTGGGCCCTCCCAAAATCGTTTTTGACATAATTGAGAACATTTGAGGTTAGCATAGCCACTATTTGACCAATTTCAAAAAAATTAAAGCTATGATGATATTCTAAATATGATATTGTGGAATTCCTAGAGTTGGGTTTCAAGTAGGATCAAGTTAGCTCCGAGGATATTGAGTGACTTCGGTTTAGGCCAACCAAATACGTGATCTTAACGGTGACACGCTTGCAGACTCAGTTGGATAACTTGAGTGATGTATGACTGACACGTACCTGTGACCTATATTTATACTATGTTTATGTAATGTTTACTATGATTATATGAGATGTTATGAATATTATGTGATGCATGTACTTCAAATATGTTAGGCTACATAAGTTATAACACATGTTCACATTCTACTTATGAAACGTTATTGAGTCATGTATGATAATATTGAAAATGATGTATACATATGCATGTCTCGTAGGAGAGGTATGTTATGAAAAGTATGGAAGAAAAATGTACCTCATAACCAGGTACTATATTTTTGAACGGTGGGATCTTATGCATGTACGTCATGAGCATGAAATACTTCTCCAATATGTTTTGTATGGACGTTATACCATGCTATAATAAGCCCCCATTTCCTTTCATTGGTTCCAGCAACATGAGCATGCACTAGCTTGTAATCAAGTCTAAGGGGTATAGGAGCCTACCTAGTGGGTTCATGTGCATGTGCGTAAATCGTGTGTAGAGAATTACTACCTATCCAACCTGTTAAAGATATTTAGTAATAAATTATAGTTTACCATATATATCATATTTGATATTTTATTATAAGACAAATATCTAGATATTACTTTCTTACCATAGTTATTTTTCCATTTATTACTATTTTTATATCCTTGTAATTTATTTGATTATAAATAAGATAACTTTCACACCATTTATGAGTGTGGATTATGCAAACATTCTTATAATCAGAGCCATTTTGGTTTAGCAACCAAAATCCTTTCTTTTGAATGGCTTTTGAAATTTTCTACTGTTCTTCTCCACCACCATTGCTGGCTTTGACACCGTAGAGGCAGTCGTCATCGCTGCCACATACAGAGCCGATTGATTACTCTTCGGCTCCACCATTTTGACCTCCAAATCATCCTTCGCCATACTTTGTACATACAACCTCACATTTTCCAAACATAGCCTCTCTCATTTTCTTCCCAATTTTCCCTTCATCCTTCACAGAAACCCTAATCTTATGATCTTCATCATCAGCATTCTTTTCGGAAATGTACAGAATCTCGATAAGCCCATCGACCTTATGCAGATATTTACCTTTGGAATCTAGGCGCCGCACTGACCTCTCCGCCAACCAAGTTGCCGTCGCCCTTCTCGCCAAAATTGGCTCATTTGCCCACTGTGGTGACTCTTCCGGCTTCAACATTGTCTTTGTCCCTTGCTCTAGGTTTCCCCTTCTACTTCTTGGGGTTAGACATATTCTCACCAGAGTCAAGACAGCATCGTCGATAAGCGACAATCCCTCTTTATGGGTTAGACATATTCTCGCCGAACTCAAGGCAGCATCGCCGCTCAGCGGCGATCCCTCTGCAATTTTTGATGGCCAAGAAAGTGTTTCTTTATGCCTCCTCTAAACTAGGTTGCTGACATTTTCACGAAAAGTGTTTCTCAACATCTTTGAATGTTTCAGATTCAAGCTTCACGTTCGTTTAAATCCGACGTTTAACTTGCGGTGGGGTGTTAAAGATATTTAATAATAAATTATTGTTTACCATATATATCATATTTTATATTTTATTATAAAGCAAATATCTAGATATTTTCTTTCTTACCATAGTTATCTTTCCATTTATTACTATTTCGATATCCTTGTAATTTATTTGATTATAAATAAGATAACTCTTACCGTGTTGGATTATGCATACATTCTTATAACCCTACTCAAAAAAGAGAATGCAAAGCTGAGGACAATCACGAAAAGATAGGTCCCATCATAAACCATGATTGCATTTTCCAACCATAAAAGTGGTGCTATTATTGAGTATTTTTAAATGGTTTAATATTTTTTTCATGTTTAAATTTTTTAATGAATTTTGTTTAAAGAGTTAGGTAAGAGCCCAAAAGATAGGGAGACTATTGGGCCTCAAGCGTTTGGATGGGCTTGGGCTTAAAGCCCAATTGCGAGTTCCGTCTAATTTTGGTTTTGTTTCCCTTTCTCTTTGTTTTGTTTTTAGCAGAACAGCGAGTGACCTCGATCAGAGAAGAACTCGAAGACCTCAAAAAATTTATCGGCAAAATCCGGCCAAGCTTCTCACCTGGCCTTCTCCATGGCGACATCTTCACCTCTTCATATCTCTGCTACTCCGTCGTTGGCCGTCGGAAGCTCAAAGTCATCATTTCTTTTCGGTACCCATCTCCCTTTCCCTTCCTCTCGCCCAAGAACTTCATATCGCAGATACTTTCTTTCTCCCTCTGCCAAAAAATCGATGGACCACATTCCTAAGCAATTCAGAGAAGAGAATCTCAAAGATGGCTGTAAGTTTTCGATATTTAATTGTCTGGCCAAAATCATTCAATCATCTGAAGTTATTTATTTGTTTCTGTTCGTTTTCTGATGAAATTAATTGATTGATTGGTAACTTGGAAAATTTCTGCTCGTTTGGCGTTTTCTTTTCATGTGTTCTTGATGATTTGTGGTGGTATTTCGATGGCCGGAGATTTTGGAGAGGGTAAATTTAATCTTTTATTAACAATAGTTTCAGACAGAGTGCAACTGGTCGACAGTAAACAGAAATTGCTACCTCATTGGGGACTTGTGTCTTTGAATCCACGTTCATTTTTCTTTTGTTAATTCTAGTTCCATCATTATTTTCATGAGTTTGATCCTGACGAAAATAAACAATATCATTGCCTAAATCTCCATATCTCCTGTTCTTATAGTGATGGAGAACTACAAGAACGCTCCTCAATCACTTTATGGCCTTACACCTTCACAACTGGACATGTTCATGACAGAAGATAATCCTGTCAGGCGACAGTCAGAATTAGTTACTGAGGTTCTTTTCTCATTTGATCTTGAGGGTTCAGTAATTTCTATAAATTTGCGAATCCATACTCAGTTAAAAAGAAATGAAAAAGAAACAAGCACATTTACTTTTTGCTGGAAGCTCAGTATTGTTCAAGCCAAGCATTAATATTGTGCTTTAGTAACCACAACGATTGCTTGTTACCTGGCAGGAAAGCATCTCATCCGCCCACAGCTATTTGACTAATGGTGGAATGTGGAGTCTATCAGGCATGGATGGAAAAAAGGGTCCATCAAAATATAGTATGAGCGCTAGTATGTATCGTGGGGGAGGAAGGGGATATGGGCGACGCCAATCAGCTCCTCCTGATTTGCCTTCTTTGCTCTTGGACGCTCGTATAGTCTACTTGGGCATGCCTGTGAGCCACTAAAATATTTATCCTTTACTCAATTCTGCTTTGCAAGATATTTTTTCTCAGGGGTACATCACTGTATTTCGTTGAAATAAATGCAGATCGTACCAGCAGTGACTGAGCTTCTTGTTGCTCAGTTTATGTGGCTAGACTATGATAACCCATCAAAGCCTATATATCTCTACATAAACTCTCCGGGGACGCAGGTTATTAATTGATATTTCCTTAATCCATGAAGTATTATATTTCCTGTTCTAACGAAGCTTGTAGTATCGTTGTAATTTTCATTGTTTTGACCATCTTGTTATTTTAATATTCAAGACCTAGTTTTTGTTGTTTTGGTGCTTGTTGATAACTTAGAATGAGAAGATGGAGAATGTTGGATTCGAAACTGAAGCATATGCTATAGCAGATATGATGGCTGTAAGTAGTCCTTTCCTTAACTTAAATTAATTCCTTTTGTCCAATATTTTTCATGGAATAACTGCGTATTTGGTCTTTGAATTTTTTGGTAAAATCCATTCCTCTTAAAAAAGAAAGTTCAGTAAGAAAATGGAAGTTGGGGCAAACAGGAAATAACATTACAAGAGAGCTCCAGTTGCTGGTAATAAAGCGAAGGGAAATCTCTATAAGAACCGACAGAAATCCAAGGAAGTGTTGAAGTGAGCATATGCCATATCTTTCCCATAGTGCATTCCCCTCTTGAAAGATCGTGTGTTTCTTGCTGCCAAATATTCCTTAAGATAGCGAAAAAAACACCCTACTATGATGGCCCTCCTTCATCCTAAAACAGGAGTTATAGAAGGATTTCCATCCGATATTGACCGATAGTACCAACTTTAGGCTGGTCTTCAAAAACCTCCCTAAACATAAGCAGAAAAAGAGTAATGTCAAAGCATGTGATTCTTTTGCCCCGACATTACCCCGCCCCGCCCCTAAAGTTATTATACCAATGTGGACCTAAGCTCAAAGTAGTTAATATTGGGTTAAAGAGTACGGTGTTAATTCTTCCCATGTATGACGAGCCAGGCACAAAGCTTTGTCTTCTTCAAGATGGATATTAACCTTCCACAGCTTACCGAGTTTATGAAACACACCCATTGGAAGAAGTTTTTTTTCTTCTTCTTTTTTGTTTTATTTATATTTATTTATTATTATAATTTTTTTTTTTGCAAGCTAAAGCCCAAGTTAGCCCAAGTAGACAAGATGTTCCTTTGCCTACAAGGTATCAAATAAAACAAACTGTAACAGCCCAAGCCTATCACTAACAAATATTGTCCTCTTTGGGCTTTCCCTTTTGGGCTTCTCCTTAAGATTTTAAAACACGTTTGCATGGGGAGATGTTTCCACACCCTTTATAAGGAATGCTTCGTTCCCCCCTCCAATCAATGTGGGATCTCACAATCCACCCCTCTAGGGGTCCAACGTTCTCGCTGGCACACCGCCTATTGTCTGACTTTGATACTATTTTTAACAGCCAAAGCTCACTGCTAGCAAATATTGTCCTCTTTGGGCTTTCCATTCAGGACTTTTCCCTAAGGTTTTAAAACGCCTCTGCTAGGGAGAGGTTTCAAACCCTTACAAGGAATGCTTCATTTCCCTTTCCAACTAAAATGCTTCATTTCCCTCTCCAACTAAGGTGAGATTTCATACCAGGGCACGAAATGATGATGGGAAAAAGATTTATAATTTAAGAAATTCCAAATGACTTGGGAGATCAAACTTGATATTTGTGGAATCCAAAATGGTGGAAGATAGCCCCTTGAATGAAGGATTAAAAGGGAAATATACCAGCTTCATCCCCTCTATCACGTAAAGCTTTCTTACATTGGAAGTAAACCGAGGACCCAGAGACATTTTTTCCTACCTGATGATAGCTTATTAATCCATTAACGTCGGCTGCTAAATTATTTTATGATAAGTAAAAATGTGCCAAAATAAAACCGTATCAATAGTTTATGATTTAGTTACTTCGTTGTTTTTATTATGCCATCAACAAGGTCTCAGCTTAATTCTTTTTACATCTGTGTAGTATTGCAAACCTGATGTCTATACTATAAACTGCGGAATGGCATTCGGTCAAGCGGCAATGCTTTTGTCACTTGGAACCAAGGGTTACCGTGCTGCCCAGCCTAACTCCTCCAGTACGTTCCTCGCCTCTTAAAACTGATATATAATTCTTTCATTTTGCATAATTCTGCATGCTCATCAACCATCCAGGATTATGGTAACTTGTTTTTCCTGGCTCGCGAGGATCATTCCCCTCCTTTTTGACCATTGTCTTTCATAATTGCAGCTAAACTGTATCTGCCTAAAGTTAGTAGATCAAGTGGTGCGGTCATAGATATGTGGATTAAGGTACGCATACTTCCCTCTCTCTGTTGAGCTTTAGCCAGTGTCTCCCTCTCATTTTCCTGGAACTCGTCTTAGGCCAGAGAACTTGATGCCAACACCGATTACTATATCGAGCTATTAGCTAAAGGAACTGGTAAACCCGTGGAAGAGATTGCTAAAGATGTTCAACGACCCAAGTACTTCAATCCCCAAGAAGCCATTGACTATGGCCTTGTAGACAAGATAATCAGCTCACGGGATTCTGCGTTCGAAAAGAGGGTCATTATCACATACATTTCTCTCTCTCGTTTTCTTTTAAGATGCTTTGAATTTCGTCATGCAAGTCTAACATTTTGCTTCTACAATCAGAACTACGACGATATGCTTGCGCAGTCGAGAGCCATGAGGAAAGGAGCCGGAGGCAATCCACAAGCCGCGCCATCCGGGTTGAGGTAATTCAGACGTGTAGAAATAGAAGGATACATAACCCCACTCTTCCATAGCTAGCTGCTACCCCCTGTATGGGCTTTATAATTCTTTCTTTCTTGGGGTGGGGTGTTTTGGTTTACTTCTGAAGGACTTGACTAATGAATGAACATCAGCAATGTGATCTTTATAGGTGGTTTGTATATTGAAAAACTCTCTCTCATTTAGGTCTAGTTCTGTGTTTTTACGGTTATTATGATTTTGTGATGTTTACTCTCACTTGCTCTTGCTCTTGCAATTGTATGGGATGCGAGCCAGTTCTCTTGCAATTGTTTGCTCATTCTATAGATCTTTCTTATTATGATTTGAACATTAGAACGTCGTTTCAAGCTACCTGTCTGCACTTTCATTTTAGTCCGCTATAAGATCTTTCTTATTATGAACAGAAAATTCTCTAATTCTCTAAATAAGAGAAGTGTCAGGATATCTCATGACCAAAGGTCTTATTTAAGTGACTTTGGACAAATATTTGTCATAATTAAGTAATATATTAAGATATTTAATAAATATATTAAGATATTTAATATGTTAAAATATATATTTAACAAATTTGAGTCACATTTTTGACATATTTACTCATTTTAACCTCAATCAAATTTTCTAAATATTTTTTTTAATGTATATAGTATATATTAATCATTTTAATATTTAATAATCGAATACAATGTTTCTATTAGGTAGCTACTAAGGAGATATCTCCATGTTAGAGAAACAGATTCTTCAGAATTGTATGATATTGTCCACTTTACATAAGCTTTCATGGCTTTGCTTTGGGCTTCCCCAAAAGATCTCTACAATGGTATGATATTGTCTATTGCTTTGGGTTTTCCCATAAGATCTCTACAATGGTATGATATTGTCTATGTTTACTTTGAGCATAAGCTGTTATGACTTTGCTTTGGGCTTCTCAAAAGGCTTCATACCAATAGATTTAGTATTCTTCACTTATTGGCTTCTCCACTCCAAAAGGCCTCATACCAATGAATTTAGTATTCATCACTTATAAACCCATGATCATTCCCTAAATTAGAGGATGCAGGACTTTCATCATCCAACACTCCACACTTTTATAAATATCAGAACAAAACTTTATATCTTTAAGAGAGATAGATGCCGGAAAGAAATGTACAAAGAATTTGAGATTTATGTTATATTGTTTAACTCATTCGTTGCAAAAGGTCACGAGCAAAGCATGTGTGCGAATATAGCAATCCTAAATGAATAATTGGAATTAATAAAACAATATGGTAATAAAATATTTTCCAAATTATTTAACAAAAATAAAAAAAAAATATTCCAAAAGAATTTGAAATTTCAGTCTTAAATAAAAAGAAAAAAAAGGAAAAAAAAAAAAGAAAAGAAAAATAAAGTGTAGGGGGAAGGGATCGGCGAAGCAAAAGAAAACGGTGGGGGTTTCGTTGTGCTTCACTCAGGTAGAGAGAGCTCAAGGCCATTGATACCCTTGTTCGAGACATTTCAGAGCTTTGGAGATCTATATCCATGTCGTTGAATTGTTAGTTTTGCCATACCGGTCCAACTTTGTTTCATCTCAGCGTCTCCGCGCCGGTCACTGCAATGGTGGTCTGCAAATGCCGCAAGGTACTACAATTCTCCCTCTTCCTCTGCCTTCTGTCGCTATTGTGTAGTGCAGGGCAGGATTATACTTGTTATTTTTCCTTTTCATTTCTGATTCGGATTCTGGAGGCTTGATTGATGTTGAAATTGGGATCGGATCCGGGGTTGGGTGTTTGGAATTTGAAGCGATCTGAATGGTTGACTAATTGATTGTATGTAGAATTACGGAATTATAAGCTCATTGCTACGCGGGTAGTTTTAATTTTCTATGGATTTTCATGAATTTTGTAAGCATCATTATTTGGATCGAGGAAATGTCCGAAGTTAACTTCGCTATGTTGCTTATTGGTTTACCGTTTAACTGAAATGCGGTTTCTTATTGTTGCTGTAATTTTTTATCGTGATAGCCTTGTTTTTTTTCTGGCTTTGTTAAAATCAATGAACTTGAGAATTCTTTTGCTTTGTGTTTTTTGGTGCTTCAGGCCACGAAGTTGTATTGTTTTGTTCATAAGGTTCCCGTATGTGGAGAATGCATATGTTTCCCAGAACACCAAATATGCGTGGTAAGCTTATTCATCATTTTACAGTAGGGGGAAAATACTGTTTGTATTTCAATCTCTTATCGCATGAGTTTCTTTTGCAATTTATTTCAATCTGTTTTACGACTTCCCAGTTGTATTCTCTCTCTCTCTCTCTCTCTCGTATGTCCCTGTGGTAATTTTTGGCGGTTCACAATATGGAGTGTTGATAAATATTTGGATAATTAGCTACCATGGGATCACCTTTGTATTTTCCACCTTTTGTGTATAGTGCAGAAGGGATCATTCACCAAAGAGTTCACCTGATTATATAGGGGGAAATAATTATTTAATCTCATTTTCCTGCTTAAGAAGTTATTCCTTGTTTAGTTTTGTAAAATTTGCTCCAAACGGTATAGGGAGAATGGTATTCCTTCTTAAGAATAACTTCTCAAGTTAGACAGGAAAATTTGCTCTAAACGGTACAGGTAGACTAATAAATGGTATTCCTTAAGCTATACTCTAAAAGGTATAGGGAGAATACTTCTCATTTTCCATCATTTAGATGGAAGGTGTGAGGGTTTTTGTACCCTTGGAAAGTTGCAAAGTCTTAAAAGTTACTCTTAAGGAGCAAAACCTTTCTATTTTTGGGGATCTTAGGAAAAAGAAAGTGTAGATTATGATTAAAATTAGGGTGAAGTGGGCAAAGGATAGAAACAAAAATATTATTCATGAATATGTGACTAGGGAGGAGAGAGAGAATTGAATGTGTCTCCTTGGAAGGGGACTTCGAATCTATTATTTGTCAGGAGGATACTAGTTTGAGACAAAAGCTTAAGTAAGGTGAAGTGGGCAAAGGATAGGAAAAAAAAAACCTCTTTCTTCCACAATCGGGCCAGAGGAAGAAGGAACAAGGATAGGATTGATTTCTTGGAGAAAGATAGTGGGGAGGTGCTAAGGGAGAGAAATGAGATTATTTCTTTTTTAACAAATCTTTTATGCCCCTACCCTTTCCCTAGGTCATTTGTAGAAAGGGTTAGAGAGGAATCCTATCTCAACCCAAGATAGGGAAGAGCTAGAGGCCCCTTTCACTTTAAAGGAAGTTTGTAAGGTGGTTGTTGGTTTTGATAGGTCTGTCTCCTAGTCTTGACAACTTCACTATAACCTTCTTTTAGAAGCATTGGGACAACATTAAGGAGGACATGTGGAAGGTTTTTTGTGAGTTTCATGAGCGGGGTATTACTGATTCTAAAATGAATGAAACCTATATATGTCTTATTCCAAAAAAAAGAGAAGACAAACAAGGTGGAAGATTTCAGACCCATAAGTCTTATAACAAGTTTGTATAAGATTATTGCTAAGACTTTAGCTGGTAGATTAAGGAGAGTCCTTTCAAATTCCATTTCCAATTATCAGGGAGCTTGCGCAGAAAATTTTGGATTAAGTGATTATGGCTAATGAAGCCATCGAGGATTATAGGGAAAGAAAAGAGGAAAGGATGATTTTTAAGATTGACTTTGAGAAAGCCTATAACCATGTGGATTTAAACTCTTTGGATAGAGTTTTGGGGTTAAGTGGAAAACTTCGATGTGGAACTAAGTTAGAACATGGGAGACCTAGAGACAAGATTTTTCTTTGTTCTCTTAGTGGTTGATGTTCTCAGTAGGCGCGTGTTGACAGGAGGGGAAAAGGTGGGATTGAGGGCTTCAAGGTGGATAACGACTTGGTTTATCAATCTCACCTTTAGTTTTTTGATGACACTCTTCTCTTGCTCTCGACGTGAGAGTTATTTTGCTAATATAAACAGATCCTTGTCCTTTTCTGAAGCTTTATGTGGTCTTGAGATTAACAAGAGGAAGAGTTCCATTTTTGGTATAATTTGTTGTCCTTCCAAGATAGTGTTGTGGGTGGTGGCTGTGGGGGTGAGGTTAGTAGTTCCCTTCTACTTATTTAGGACTTATTTTGGGTGGTAATCCTTAAAGTAGAGATCATGTGGGGGTGAGGTTAGTCAGTTCCCTTCTACTTATTTAGGACTTCTTTTGGGTGGTAATCCTTAAAGTATAGATCATGGGTATCAATATTAGCACAGAGATCATTGAAAAATTTGCTAGCATTTATGGTTGTAAAAAGGGAGAATGACCAAATATGTACTTAGGACTACATCTAAAAGGGAACGACAAATCCTTTTCCTTTAGGAAGATTATTATTGAGAAAATAGAAAGAAGGTTGTCAACATGGTCATCACGTTATACTTCAAAAAGTGGAAGACTCACCCTAATACTTGTCACATTATCCAACCTCCCTACTTACTACATGTCTTTATTTGAAATGCCACAAAAAGTGGCCGCGGATATAGAAAGACTATTCAGAAACTACTTGTGGAAAGATGGCGCACATCTTGTTGGTTAGAATATTATAAACCTCCCAATAGAAAAGGGAGGCCTCGGTCTTCTCTCGATAAGGAAGAAGAACAAAGCTCTCCCCGACAAATGGATATGGAGATATCATCATGAAGAAAAGGCCTTATGGTGAAATCTTATAAAGACTAAGTGTACTTCTACATCAAACAAAAATCACCCCCTCCATCTTCTACAAAAGGGCCTTTGAAGTACATAAAGAAACATCAAAATCTCATCACCAACCGAACTCACCATAAGGTGGGTAATGGGGGAAGCACAACATTTTGGACTGACCCATGGATTAAAAACACCATGCTAACCTTGAAGTATCCACTTTTGTACAGGCTCTCTCATAGCAAAAAAGCCACGATTAAAGAAACGTGGAATGTTATCAACAAATTTTGGGACTTGAAGCTTGGTAGGAATTTAAAGGATAATGAAACAATGGAGTGGGCTGAATTAAGCCTTGACCTTGCCCTTGTGGTATTGTCAAACAAAGAAGGTATTGTCAAACAAAGAAGACTCACTGACTTGGCTCCCCAGCGTTGATGGGGTCTTTTCTACAAAATCCTTGATGATGGACATGGGGGAAAAAGTAGAAGTAATAAATCCCATGCTAGCTAAGACAATATGGAAAGGACATCAACCTAAAAAGGTGAAGTTCTTCTTTTGGGAAATAGCGCATAAAGCCATCAGCACAAGTGAAAATCTTCAAAAAGAATTCCTTACATCACTCTTTCTCCAAATTGGTGTCCATTATGCTAGAAAAAAAACGAATCACAAAGTCACTTGTTTATGCAATGCACATACGTAGATTTTTTGGACGACGATTCTCAATGTATTCGGATGGCATCTCACATTTCCTTTGGAGGTAAAAGATTTTTTGGATATGACCTTAACATACCACCCTTTCAAGAACGCAAAAGCCCTATTATGGAAAAATCTCATCATGTCTTTCTTTTGGAATCTGTGGAAAGAAAGAAATCAGATAATATTTGTAGAAAAGACATGGACCTACACAAAAATTTTCGACAATGTTGTTTACCCAGTTATATCTTAGTGTAAACTGTCTAATATTCCTTACATCACTCTTTCTCCAAATTAGTGTCCATTATGCAAGAAAGAAAACGAATCACAAAGTCACTTGTTTATGCAATGCACATACGCAAAATTTTTGGACGACGATTCTCAATGTATTCGGATGGCATCTCACATTTCCTAGGAAGGTAAGGGATTTTTTGGATATGACCTTAACGTACCACCCTTTCAAGAACGCAAAAGCCCTATTATGGAAAAATCTCATCATGGCTTTCGTTTGGAATCTGTGGAAAGAAAGAAATCAGAAAATATTTGCAGAAAAGACATGGACCAACACAAAATTTTTCGACAATGTTGTTTACCAAGTTATATCTTAGTGTAAACTGTCTAATATTTTTACTTCCTATAGTTATACTTCTCTCCTTGCAAATTGGGAAGGTCTTTTGTAAAAAAAAAAAAAAAAAAAAATGTTTTCTAGAACCAATCTTAGAAAAGTTTCAGAAATGGTTGTCTGGTTGGTAAAAGTTTTCTTTTTCTTCCAAAGCAGTCTTAGGTGGGATTCCCAGCCTTTTCTTGTCTTTATTTCGGATCCATGTTACTATGAGTAAAACGCTTGAGGGACTGGTGAGAAACTTTTTGTGGGAGATGGTTGAGGAGGGTTGGGTCCCATTTGGTTAAGTGGGAGTTGGTGTTGAAGCCTTTAGAGCTTGGAGGCTTGAGTATTGGGAGCTTGAGGTTGTGCAATGAGACGCTTTTGGCTAAGTGGCTGTGACATTTTTTTTAAGAATCTGACAATCTGTGGTATAAAGTGATTGTGAATTGGTACGACTCTCACCCCTTTTGAGTGGTTTTGAGGGGCCTCAAAAAGGGGAAAAAAAAAAAAAACGCTGGAAAGCTATATCTTCATGTTTCCTTTCTTTTCTCAGTTTATCAGGTGCTTTGTTGGGGAAGGATGTGAGTTTTTTGTTTTTTTTTTGAGAGGATCTTTGGGTTGGCGATAAACCCATGTGCTTCTTTTTCCTCGTCTCTATTGCCTTTTGAATAAGACGTTGTATTTGATATCCTCCGTGTTGTCTTCTCTTGGTCTCTCTACTTTAATCTAATGGTTACATTGTTCGCTTACTGATAGGGAGGTGATTGATGTGGTGAGGCTTCTTTATATCCTTTGAGATCAGGTTGTTACTCTGAGATGGAGAGATGCTAGGGTGTGGACCCCTGATTCTTCTAGGGGTTTCTCTTGCTGTTCCTCTCTTTCTATATATATTTTTGGAGTTTCCACCTCAAATAACTTTGGCTTTGGGGTCACTTGTCTGATAAGAAATCTCATGATGTTTCTTCTCTACTCTATTTGTTGGTTGACTTTTAACTTCACCTTGGGGCCAGGGATTTTTACATGTAGACTCTAATTCTTTGGAGAGTTTTCTCATAGTTCTTTTCTTCTCTCTTCTGCGCAGTTCCCACTCTCTCTTATACCTTTGTTTTTTTCAGTTTGCAGTTTTCTAAAGCGTTATTATTTTTTTTTATTGAAACCAAGTTTTCAGCGAGAAAAAAATGAAAGAATATAGAAGGGTCCAAATAGGGCAAAAAATGTGGGCCAACAAGAAAACTGTCTAAAAAATGACTGCTCAAATGAACCCAACAGAACAAAACCTGATGAGAAAGAAAACTGTTGTAGTCCAAAAGAATAAGACCAAATGAAAGATCACAGTAGTCATTATTCACAAACATCCAAAGCGAGACATAAACTTAGCAAAAGACCAAACGTTCCCTGTATATCTTCCCCCACTAAAGGTTCTATTGTTTCTTAAGCAAAATTTCAAAAGGACACCTAAACAGCTCCCTTTTTCAGCTGCTGCAATAGAATGACTTAGAATATGAGCAATTCTCTTTGTTAGGCTTTATTCCTTTTAGGTTTGTGCTATGTTAATGTTGTGCTTCTTCTTCCTTTAAGATTCGCACCTATTCAGAGTGGGTATTGAATGGAGATTATGATTGGCCTCCAAATTGCTGCCTGTGTCATGCTACACTTGAGGAAGGAACTGGTCCCCAAACTACTCGATTGGGATGCTTGCGTATGTGACTTTGTATATTTACTTACCTTCTTTCCATGCAATTTTTAAGAATAGAGTGGATTTCAATTGAAATGTTGAAGTAGTTATGTAATTCATTGTTCTCATGCTAGATGTTATACATACGGATTGCTTGGTCTCACATATCAAGAGCTTTCCTCCATCCACTGCCCCTGCTGGCTACGACTGTCCCGCCTGTTCCATTTCGGTATGGTATATATGTACACTTTTTATTATTTAATTCAAATTCATATATGATCCCAGCACATGCCTTTGACACCTCTATGTCATTGTTGTGTTGTTTCTTCTTGATGATCAATTTTTTCAAGTTCCCTGATTGATGTGAATATAGTCTTCTATAATGGAAACTACAATATTGTCACATGTCTGATTACTTTAAGATGCATGTATATTCTTGGTGCAGATATGGCCTCCGAAGAACATTAAAGATTCAGGATCTCGTCTACATGCAAAGCTAAAGGAAGCTATCTTGCAGGTTAGGCTCACATGCCTGATAGAAATTTTTGGGGAGATGATTATCTCAGTTCTCATATGACTGTATTTCTATTTTCTCTTCCTTAGTTCTTGCTTCTACTGCCTGTACAATCCCTGGGGATGTGTGATGCTCTACTTAAGAAACTAAAGAGGGAAAATTACTGGATACTTAATATTAGATACCGCAGAATGATACCACAGAATGATAATAAGCTGAACTTTATCCCACAGTTCTAGTTCCAATCACTTGCCTTAAAATTATTCTTCTTTCATTTCAAGTCACCTATAAGATCTCTCAATCTTTAATATGCTTTCTTCTTGAGCTTGACCCGAGTAGATTCATAGAATCTTACAGGGTAGCAAGAAACACTCAAGAAGCTAAAAACCTCCCATAATCCCTGAATAATCACTATCACAAAACAATAATCAGATTCATCGTCAAGCTTCTCCTCCACTTGTATTGCACGAGCATGGGGTCTATGATGTATGACTGGATGCCTTCCTCTGCTTTCGAAGCTAGAGCAGATGAAAATGGAAACTACTTTTATTTTTCCTATTTTTCCTCTCCTTTTCTCTCTTAGAACTTCGTACTTCTAAGTAGGAATATAAAGGTCATGGCTAGGATCCCCCTTAAGCCATCTTGAAGAGAAGGTGAAAAGGAGTTGCAAGAGCCTGCCATCTACTGTCCTATCTCTTTGTGATCAACCTAAGGTTAATCAGAGATTTAAAAGAACGATGTTGTATTTTGTAGACAGCTTAATCAGAGGGAATTAGAGCAAAATGTTGATCTCTCATTTTTGTAATCAGCAACTTTCAGGCTCCTAGAATGATGTTTGAGGAAACTAGAACTTAGTTTCCATGCAGTTTGAGTAACCTTTTTGTGAAGTCTTTATGCCACAAGCTTACTAGAGGAATAGAAATTCTTGATGATCATATCCGAAGGAAAATGCCTAACTTTCTCCTCTCTCCAAATAGGTGTGTGTGTTATTTAAAAGAAGCCCTGAGAGTCTTGTTCATTGAATCATTGCCCCTTTTGGGCAAAGCTCTTCAATATCTTTGGGGTTAGTTGGTGTTTTCCCTGCTCTTTTGAAGAGGTCATCCTTTGGCTTTTTTCTCGGCCTAAATCTTAATCATGTGGCTATAATTGTGTTGTTTGATACAGTGGATGCTATCCTATGGGTCTTTGGCTAGAGCGATATAAGAGAACCTCCACTCTGCAGAAGCAGATGAGCTTTGAAAATCTGTATCTTATCAAGTTTCATTCCTCTTCTTGGTTCCTTTTCTAAATTCTTTTGTAGCTATGATTTACATATTTTGGCCAATTGGGAAGCCTTTTTGTAATCCCTTTGCTTTTTGGGGATATCTCATCTCCCTTCTTTTATACATGACTTCTTAAGTGAATATATTTCTCTGTTTAATTTTTTTTTTCTAAGTTCAAAACTTTAATAATCTTCTTTGTAAGGCTATCTGAAAGGCTAAATGCCCTAAAAAGTGTAGGGTTTTCCTAAAGACTGCGTGCTTTAGGGGATGAGTGTGCCAAAAATAGGGATCTGTACCGATGTCCCTCATCAAGTTAGTGCTTTCTTTGGGAAAACAACAAAGAGCTCTACAGGTGCCTCTCATTAAGTTGGTGCAGTCTTTGTAAAAACAACAGTGAGAATGCTCATCACCTCTTAGTAGCTACCTTTACACTGAAGCTTTGGTGGATGTGCAATTATGAATCTCATGGAGAGTTCAATCCTGGCTTAAATTATGGGACCTACACATATTAGTACAGTAGACCGCTGTCCCTGGTCAGAACCACACGTGCAAGTTTTCCCGTATGTGGCTCGTTCGTGCTTTCCGAGGTGCTGCCTGCAACAGAAAGGAAGGGATCCATGTAGCTGCTGCGATATGACCTACTCGAACAATTGCCCTACTTCATCAAAACTTTTGTTAGCTTGCTGTTTTGTCTATAGGCTCAAATACTATTTAAGTTAATGATGTCCAACATGTGCATTATCAATATTGAGAGCATTATCAGTATTGTAATGGAGAGGAAAGCTTTAATCATATAAAATACTATCTAAACACACAAGGTTGAGAGCTATTTAGCTAAAGTTGAATGTTATTATTTATTTTTTTTTAACAAAATCTACACTAGGACATTTTTTTATTTATTATACTATGGGATCTTAAGGGTAGAACATTGTACTAAATGAACTTTATTTGAGACTCTTTGAGTCTCATCTAATTCCTGGTTCTATTGCTATGTTGCTGGTTGTAGCATGTTATTGTCTTACTAGTATTGTTTCTTTTTGTTCATCAGACTGGTCTGGAAAAGAGTTTGTTTGGAAATCATCCAGTAGGATTATCAGCAACAGAATCCCATGGGCCTCCCCCTGCCTTTGCCTCAGATCCCTTGGTTTCCTCTTCAGGAGATGCACATAACAATAAGAGCTCATTAAATTCAATAGCAAACGTTGTCTCAAATACGGGTGAAGGATTCTCAGCCACAACTGGAGCTGGATCTTCCAAAAATAACATTTCAGATATTGTTGAGATTGAAATTCCTGGTCCAGAAGGGAATTTTGTGAAAGGCTCAAGTCCTTCAGCCGTAAGAATATCTTCTCATTGAAAGATGATTAGTCAACATATTATTCATTTGCTTACTTTCAGTTTATTCTCATACCATTTGTTTTTAATTTTCAAATGCAATCCAGCCTGTTGCTACCACAAGAAAGGGTGCAATCAATTATGACAGGCAAAGTTCTGAAATTTCGTATTATGCTGATGATGAAGATGGTAACAGTAAGAAATACGTTCGAAGAGGTAAGTTACATGCTTATCAAACGTCACTTAAGTGGCCATTTGTTTCCCTCTTTACTCTCATCCTGGAATTTCATAAACTTGTTCCTTTGTTAAAATAGACATCAAACTCGTGTCTGGCCTTCTCTGCCTGTAGTAACGTGTTGATCCCTCAGCATTTGAAATCCACAAAAATGATTGGTTAGTTGAAATTCCTGAAGCCTAAACAAATTCAATCTTCTAGCATTCCCTGATATTTCATACCATGTCCCAAGCAAACATTTGAAGAAATCCCTTCAGGCTTTTGATATACGAGTGCTTTCGATCTTTTGTACTGCCAAATATTACTATTATTTTTTGCCAGAGTCATATATTTTCTTCCCTTTTAAGTTGGGATGTAACTAAGTTCATCTTGAAAGTTCTTGATAATGGGACATTAAGCTCACCATTTCCTTACGCAGCACATATTTTGGAGACTCTTTAATTTCAGCACCTTTTTATTTTTTGTTTTCACAAAATAGAGCAGTGAGCTCCTTACTTCAGTCATGGTTTTGGCTTCTTAGTTTTCTGCCTTGTCAATACTAATATTAGTAATTGTTTTTGCTGTTCCTTAGTATTTTTTTACACATTTTTGCTGCATGTTGTTTTGGTATTATTATCATTACTCCATTTATTTGTTGCCTGCAGGTCCTTTTAGGCACAAGTTTCTTAGAGCGCTACTTCCTTTCTGGTCGACAGCATTGCCAACCTTACCCGTGACTGCGCCTCCACGTAAAGATTCATTGGGTGCCAATGATGTCAGTGAAGGCCGTGTTCGGCACCAAAGACCCTCCAGAATGGATCCCAGAAAAATTCTTCTTGTCATAGCAATCATGTAATTCCCGTATATCTATATGCCTTTATTTTCCTCTCGTTCTCTTAATCATATGCTTTATGGTTTGCTTGAAGTGCTCCTTTTTCTTAATTGTGTAATGTGTAATGTGTATGTGCATTGGATTTCCTGAATCATGTGCAGGGCATGTCTGGCAACCATGGGTATTTTGTACTACAGACTTGCACAAAGAGGTATAGGAGAAGAAGTTGTGGATGACGAGCAGCAACTGAAAGCAGCACAATGAGACCATATTTGAAGAGGTCTATAATCTTTAGCTCTTACCAGCCTTGTAGCTCGCGTTAGAATTTGTATGGCTCCTTGAAATCGGACCTTTTATGAGTTCATGCAGACGATATACGAACACTGTAAGTATCTTTTACTTGAGGCTTTTCTGCTACAGTGAGATGAAGTTTTTTTTTAATTTTTATGTGAGCCTTTTTGTCATCTTACAACTCTACTTGTGTTCCTTCACATGTAAGGATTGTGGATCAGAGGATTAGGTAAAAGAAAAGATCTTTGATTTGAACTATTTGTTTTGTAATTACTCATTCAGTCAATAATTTACATCATAGGGGTTTTTAATTTAGCTTTTTTTAGATATGGAAATTCTAGATTCTAGTTTTCATCTGTTGTAGTTTTGAGAAGTAGGGTTTGGGTCTGGTTGATCATTTTATTGAATGATTTGAACCACTGGATTTGATTTGGTGCAGAAGTGAATGAACTATTGGATCCAAAAACCTAAACCAGAATAATTGATGACCTTCATTTTGATCTACCTTATTTTTCTTTTTTACACGTCGTGGTAGGTGTGCACAGGACGGAGTTTTTGGACCAACCCAAAATTTCGTAGAATAGAACTGAACAATGTGTCCAACCCCATCTCAACTCGGCCCTTATATTTTTGGGTCGAGTTGTGTTAGGTCGAACTTTTTTATTTGTTTTCCATCCCACTCTTATCACAAAATAGAATCAGACCAAACAACCAACAATCCGAAGAGGAAGTAAATGAGAATTTAAACAAATTTAGATTAAATTATCTTCATAGGTAAAACATCTAACATAATCCTTCCATGTGTTAATGATGTCTATTCAAAGATTACAAACTTCTAACCTCTATACCAATTGTCTTTCCCGGAACATTATGTAATGATTATGTGATTCATATTCACTTTTTCATGTTTTCAAGTTACTACAATGGAGTTACTAGGAAGTCGCCAACTACCCTCTCATATTTATGAAGTTATCAAAGTTGCCAACTACCCTCTAGTAATGAGGAGTTATTTATACACAACTTGCATATATATCTTAGTTGGTACAACCATGAAGCTTCTCCTTGATGCTTATGATGTTATCAAATTACTACGATGGCGGGATTGCTAGAGGGTTGCCAACTAACCTCTAGTAGAAAGATTGTATTTATAATCAATCAGTATAGGTAACTTAGTTGGTACTGACAGAGGATCACGCTCCTCATGTTTATGATGTTATCAGGTTACTTCAAGGAGAAGCGGGAGCGTTGTTAACTTAACTCCGGTAGTAAAGAGTTATTTATACAATACTCACATAAATATCTTAATTGATTAGACAGGGAATATCAATTACGCTTAGTAATATGACTTTTATGAGTCAAGATAAGTATGAATGGACGGGACTCAATAATACTTTTATTTTTAGTTCTTAGGTTTCACATTTTAATTCTTAATTAAATTTCCTAAAACTAAATAGATATGGTAGATATTAATACCCATTTTGGCCCTTTGTCTCTATCACTAACAAAGTGGAGAGCACAACATATTACATATTATTTTATTCATTAAGACTAGATATTTAAATCAATAAAGAAATGGAAACTCAAATAGATTAAGTAAGCCATGTTTTAATTATTTTATGTTTGAGTAACATTATATTACTAAACATTATATTAATTTATATTAATACATTTTCTGTTTGGTAGCTCAATCATTAGATCTTAAGCGTGTTTGGCTTGAAATTTTTTTAGTAAACATGTGAATAAGAACAAAGCATGTTAAAAAAACACATGTTCCGAAATAGTTTTTACAAATAGTTCGAAGACAAGTAAATAATATGGTTATGTTCTAAATTCTCGATTCTCATAATAAAAATTTAGAAAAATGCATAAATTACATAGATTGATAAGCGATATGTGTCTAGAATAAAGAGTATATACACAAAAGTATATTTGAAGTAATTTTTCAAACCATTCAACAATAAAAATGTGTTTAAGGACTCATTAAATATGCATTAACTTTCATCCCGATCCATATGCATAAATTTCATAAAAAAATAAGTTTTGTGAAACATCGGAAAGATCCATTTTGTCATTTATATGAATAAATTATTCTAATTAGTAAGAGTTCAACGGGACCTACCTCCTCTTTTTTTCTGATTCGAGGGGGATCCTGTTGAGTTCTTACGCTTTCATGTCTACAACTCAGTTCATCCGATTATTATAGAGAAGAACCTAATCCAGAATATGAACCATAAAAGAAAATACCGACTAAACCAATCACAGAATACCAGTTATAATACTATTATCCAAAGAGGAATCCTTCCAGTAGTCTCGACCATTTGTCCCACTTCCCTCCCCATTTCCCTCCCCATTTCATCAAGTGGTCGTGTTAGAGACAAAAACAGTCATAGATCCATATGCATAAATTTCATAAACGAAAAGTAACTATGGACTCAATTTTTTCTACTACAATAAAGTTGTTACCATATGTAGTGTAGAAATATTCATTTAAAGTTATTTTAAATGATGTTATTATCTTAAACATGTGAAGTAAGACTATAAAAATAACACTAAGAAAATGGTAAAGAGGAAAAAATAAAGTGTAGCGTTTGAAAAAAAATAAAATCAATGTCCTATTTTGACCTTAAGGGCTATAGAAAGACGTATGCACCTATCCTAAGACTTTCATTGTGATACTGTCATCATTTGTACAGTCGTTCCTTATCTTTACCTGAAATATACGAGTAGCACATGACTTGAGTATTTTAAGAAATACTTACTAAGTAACTCTACTAGTGGGGTCGGAAAATGCGAACACATGTAACATGGAAAGACCTATCATTTGAAAACATCATAACATGGTCTTAGGCAGCTTTCGAGTCTAGTCAAGGTTCGATGTATAGTGCTTCTCTAAACATGGCCCATGCATGCGAGCATGGATTCAACAAGCGGGCTCGCACACTCCTGCCTGGCGTCAAGCTAGCACTCGCTAACGGACTATGCCAAACATCAAGGAGGGAAAGGGCCTGCATGACATCATCGAACATAAATGTCGTAAATCATTAGTCGTGATGTATGCATCTGTACTCACCATAATGAGGAAGTATTCCGATGTACATGACACACAAATATGCATGTGGTATCTGTAGCTTTTAATAATGACATAATGTATGATGCAAGACAAACCTCCATTTATCTATAACATAATAAGTACGTGAATTATGGTCAAGGAGGCTTATGCATTATAGATCATTGGTTTCATAGCAGTTATATATAACATGACATGATAACGTCATAACATAGCTTTTATACGTAACATAACTTATTGTGGCATCACACAACTTATCACAGCATAACATAGTATAACGTAACATATCAATCATACATATGACACATGCAGGGGTCACAGGACACACATCATCATATATTATACAATTCATCCAACCAAGCCGATATTGGAGCCACTTAGTTGACATGAATCGGAGTCCCAAAGTATTCCTAAAACTGGCTTGACTTTATCCTGAAAATTCGTTTCAACCTAGGTAGACCGATAACATCATATCAAAAATATTCTAACGAACTTTATTTACCTAATTCTCAAATAATTTCAATTTATAGCTCAAAATAGTTTAAATTGAGCAATCCGGGATTAAACTAACCTTAAATGCCTCTCATAAGGTCAAATTAGCTCCTGGAGGGTCAATAATATATTGGATACGCACACACTTTTTACATAGATTTTGAATTTTGAAACTTAAAAATTGGATCGAGATTAAAAAGACAAAAATGAAAGTAAATAAAAATAAAAGATGAAAATCGGATGAAAATTAAATTGAATCCAATTATAGAACGGTGTTGTTCAAATTTATTACAAATGAGAAAGTAAGTTTGGGATACAATTAAAAAAATGAAATACAAATAACTCAAATACAAAGATATACCGATGCTCTGAAACGACCTTCTCTGTGACCACACAACTCTCGAACGCTCCTCCACCTCAATTGGCAGCCTGCAAACATCTGGAAAAGAAAGTAGAAAGGATGATTATAAAAATATTTGGTGAGCAACCAAGTTGTAAACTTTCATTAATCCTTATCCTAGTAGGTATCCATGGATTTTACTCTTGGCTCAGGAAGTTTTGCGTCTAGTCTCTATTGCTATTTAAGCATCTGGGGTGCCTCAAAATTTTGAGTGGTATTTTAACGGCTCATAGACCCGCTCTAGGTACCAATGAGGTGGTTCACCTATTTCTGGCGTTGTAGGTCTTCTATGCAAGAATCTCATCTTTAGGGGTGAATTACTTTTCTATTCTTAAACAGAGGTAGCTTGCTTTGCCTAAGAAGTGTGCAACTGGTGTCGTAGGTCAATGCATTACCTCGTAAAGCTCCCTTTTTGGTAGGGACACTATGGTGTGTGCTAACTTGCTCTCATTATCCATGGGTGGTTAGCTGGTAAACCCTACCCATAGGACCATATAGTCACCCAAGGTCGGGGAACAATTCCTGTGCTTGTCAGCTATTAAGGCTACCCACATATTCCTATGTCCCTCCTTAGAACAAATTTGCTATGCGGGGTAATCCAACTTAACTATCAAACACACAATCCTTTGAAGTAGAAAGGGACGTGGAAACTATGTTGACACCGTACCAACTGCTAACATCTTAAAGATTACCTTTTTCATTTTTGGATGTCATGGAGGTCTACTAGGTTTTTAGGGACGTCTAGGCATTTAAAACTCTCTCTTATTTCTAAGACGTCTAAGACTAACGCCTCAGACTAATCGACACTCTAGGTGCATATAGGTCTATCCCTTTGATCGACGCTCACGATCCTAGAGTGCAGTGTCTACTGGAATCTATTGGATTCCTAGGGCAGCTAAGTGGCTTATGACCATAGTTTAGGATCCTAAGGTGCTCAGTTTACTAGAGGCGTCTTAACCTAGGATATCATCTAGCCAACCTAACTCTAGCATCCTAGTTTTAAAAGAATTGAAAGTCACTACCATAAGCTAAATATACTATGTAACATCTGAGTAAAGGAGGCGTACACAAGTGAACAACGACCATATTTGAATGAGAGCGATCTTGAGAATAGAATGACTAAGAAAATCTTAAAAGAATTGAATGTCGCTACCTATACCAACAAAGGGCACGTTCCTTTTTGGTGGCACTACCGAACATGTTTAAAGTCTTAGAAAGTTAGGCATAAACCATGTTGTTTATTTTATAATTTAAATTAATTATCCTTATAATCCTAATTTATATTAAAAAGAACAGTCA